TAGACTCGGGGAGTTTTTACAAAGAATACAGATTCCTCGGGAGCCCCAGATCTCCTGCTGCATGCCTGATCTGAGGTCACTAGCTGAAACACGAGGAAGGCGCTAGCGTGCTACCAATGGGAACCACGTGGTTTCAGACCCCTTTGGTGGCACTCCCAGACGATGACCTTCGGGGCTGGCCCTCTCAGGCTCCTCCCTCTCCTTGGGGCCCCAGTGGGAGGGAAGAGATTTGCAGTGATCCCACTGATGGGGGCGGCTCAGCTGGCCAAATGTGGGGGCGTCTCCAGACGCCAAGGGCGGTGCAACTGCCCTCCAGCCTGCACAAAACAAGCGCCTCCTGCGTCAATGAAGACCAAGGTCAAAGCTATTTGATGCCTGTTCTCAGTGCTGAGCTGGGGATCCTGAAACTCCCCTGACGCAAGGACCCATCCCAGAGATGAACTCAGGGCTCAGCTCAAAGGTGGGACCAGGGGGGCCTACGTATAGACACAAGGGTGTAGTCTAGATAGAGCACACCTGCAGGAGATGGGCGACTGGGACTCTAAGAAGAAGACTTGGTCAATAGACCCTGCAGACTAATTAAAGTCTACAAACTGAGATCCTAAACTCCTTTAAAACTTAGGTGCACTGCTCACAATGCAATAGAAATGTTCCTTAAAAGCAATATATAACTGAATTTTTGTAAATTGATATTGTAAGCAATCTAGGAATCTGCCATTAGGAAATTATTAGTATTTTTGTAAATCTGGTTTCAGTCCATTAGAGTTTCTTAAATACAGCATTCCTTTAATCTGATTTCCCTCTATCAGAGAGTGATATATATACATACATATATATATGTATATATATATATATATATATATGCTATTTCAAAGAAGGTAATAGATGCTACTTGTACATCTTGATTTAAGCAAGGTTTAAATTTCATCCTTTACAATATATTAAACTAAAAAATATGGTCTGAATCTGTAGTTTCCACATCTGACTGTACACAGAATTAGACTGGGAGTTTTAAAGAATACAGATTCCTGAGCCCCAGATTCCTGCTGGACCTTCTGATTCAATGTGAAACACAGGAAGGCGCTAGGTGCTCCCCAATGGGAACACGTAGTTCAGCATCCTTTGTGCATCCGGAGATGACCTTGGGGCTGCCCTCTCAGGTCCTCCCTCCCCTGGGGCCCATGGGAGGAAAGAGATTTCAGTGATCCCATGATGGGGGCTGCTGGCCAAATGTGGGGGCGTCTCCAGAGCCAAGGGGTGGCAACTGCCCTCTAGCCTGACAAAACAGCCCCTGGTCACAGTGAGACCCTCAGCTGCAGGGTCAGGCCTGCAGGTACAAGGCAGGGTGTGTCACTGTCCCCAGGGGCCTGTGACCTTCATCTATAATTTTTACAGTGGGGCTTTATATCCGATTATACATAACATTTTTATTTTATTTATTTATTTATTTATTTTATTCTTTTATAGAAACTTCTTTTTCTTTTCTTTTCTTTCTTTTTTTTTTTGCTTCTACAAGTACAGAATGAGAAAAATATACTTAAAAATTATTAGGAGAAAATGGAATGTGGTCTTGTGGTTAACAGAATAGCATCTCTCCCAGTGATGTCCATGTCCTACTCCCTGAAACTGTATGTTAGGTTGCACAGAAAAAGGAAACATGGTTGCTACTGATTAGTCGCAATTAGCTACTAATTACTGATTGGTCGACCAACTGATGGGGAAATTATCCTGGATTATTTTAAAAGCTGAATGGGGAGGCAGGAGGGAGACAGAGGGAGAGATAGCATGAGAAGGACTCGGCTCCCCGTTGCTAGAGAAATGGGGCCGCGGGCCAAGGGACGTGAGCAGCTTCTAGAAGCTGGAAAAGGTAAGAGACAGATTCTACTCTGGAGCCACCAAAGAGAAACACATCACTGCTGACACCTTGACTCTAGCCCAGTGACACCCGTGTCAGGCTTTTGACCTCCAGAACTGTGAGGTAATAAATTTGTGTTGTTTTAAGCCACTTAATTTGTGGTAATTTTTTTTTTTTTTTTTTACAGCAGAAATACAAAACTAAAACAGCACTGATGACCAAGTTCTTACATTTTTTTTTCCTTTGGAATACAAGAAGAGGAAAGTAGAACTTAAAATCTGACAGACTTCTCCTGTGTATTACAAAGCCCTGCACGTCACCCCCAATATTTTAATTTTTCTTCCCCTTGAAGAGACAAAGAAGATTCCATATCTGAGGTGACCAGGCTCATCTATTAGGCCAAGTTTTTAGCACAGCAAGATAGCATTGTGGTAAGATCCAGGATCCATATTTTGAAAATCTCCCTAGGAGTCTCTAATATGCAGCCAGGTTTGCAAACCACTGGTCTACAATTTAAATTCTAACCCACATAATTACGAGGTGGCTGCATGCCTAGACAATGAGTACTGGTGGGTTATCATTAACCTGGGAGGACATAATAGATGCGGTGTCCACAGAGCTGGGACCCGGTGACGACACATTTCATCTGCGACCTGCCGCGTGGAAGGGCCAGCTTGCTCATTAAATGTGACTGTGGGGCCAGAATGGAAAACAGGCGGAGGAGGGCATTTTAATTAATTAATGAGGGTTGTTAGGATGGAGGGCTTATTGATTCAAAGGACAGGTGACAGCAGGCTGAGGAGGTGTCACAGGCGTTGCTGGGAAGTGAGTGCAGTTCAGGGAAGGCAAATGCAGAATGGTGCACCGTCTGCAAAAGGGAAGGAAATAGCACAATAACGGGCAGAGCCAGGGAAGACTGCAATATTAGAAAAGGATCCAGGGACACGGCCGACCACAGAGTAGGGTGCATGCGGGGGAGAGGTCGGGGGTGCTGAGAGCGCAGGAGGGCCACATGGCCTTGTTCACATTTGCCCTGAAATTTAGACTTCTGACATCGTTTGGTATCTGATAAAGGTGTTTGTTAACTTAAACATGCAAAGCACACCATGGTTTTATCATCCCATTTTTGCAACTTTTCCTTTTTTAATGTACCAGGAGCCTCAAAAAATGAGGCTGAGTGGCCTAGATGTCTCAACTTCAAGAACTCTGTGGTGAATCACAAGACCCAATCAGTCCTGCAGTTTATGAAGCAAGCGTTAAGTAGACAGCCATAGGATATTTTTGGAAAGAAGCACTAAGAGCAGTGAGGGTCTCTAGAGAGCAGGGCTGGGGGAATTGGAATCCAGAGAGGAAAAGAGATCTGCTTTGTTTTTCCCTAAATTAAGCTTCTTTAAACGTTTCAGAAAATGTTTTGTAGAGACAGGGTCTTGCTATATTGCCCAGGCTGGTCTCAAACTCCTGGGCTCAAGCAATCATCCTGCCCTGGCCTCCTAGAGTGCTGGGATTACAGGCATGAGCCACCCACTCGGCCCCCTAAATAAAGCTTTAATAGATACTTTTTTGTTTTCCTTCTCCTCCACCGCCCCCAGAGTTATACACGCACTTAATCTAAAATGTCAAATAGTTCTCCAAGGCTTGTTGTAAGAACAGCAGTCCCCTTCCCCCTCCTCCCCATTTTGCATACTTTAACCTCTTTTGGTAGTGACTCCAGGTCTCCAGTGACTCCAGGTCCCTAGATTAACATGCTTGAAATGCTATTCCTTGATTTTTCACTTGAAGCCATTATCTGATGTTTCCCCAGGATAGAAGATTAGGATTTGGTGTCTCTCCTTCTGCAGCCCCCACGGGACATACTTATCTTTCCCCACACTGCATCCTTCCCATGGAGTTACGCTGCAGTGTCAGTGAGCTGCGTATTCAATGTTTGTTACTGTGACTGTAAAACACGAGTCGCAGCTGAGCCACCTGGTAAACCATGACCACTTTTTCTTTCCTGCACATCTTTCTATTGTTTCGGGAGCTACAGACCATCTTGTTTTTTGTTGGCTTACATTTTCTATGTACAGTATTTGCATCTGCCATTTGTCTGTGTCTGCTCTCAAGACATTCAGAATGTTCAGGTGTTTTAACAGTTTCACCAATCTCCTTCCAAATCTCTCCCAGAGCCTTCCAGCATGCTGCAACTTGCACACGACACACAGCTCTCATCTTGGGAGCTCCCTTCACCATCACCACAGGGATTCTCTTGCCTCCTTCAAGGAACATTGGTATCCTCTGTCTTAGTTTGCGCTATCATTTGGACACATGTTTAGGGACATTTTGAGGCAGGGGCATGGGATATAAATATTTGAGAACCTGTATGTCAGAAAATGTATTTAACCTACCCTGACACCTGATGAATTGTTTAGGCTAGGTACATAGAATCCTAACGTGGAGACAATTTTCCTTGAGCTTTGAAAGCCACTGCCATCTGGCCTACAGGGTGGCTGTTGAGAAGTCTGAAGCCATTCTGACTTGTCATTCTTTATGTAGGACTTATTTTCTCCTCTTTGGAAGCTTGTGGCATCTCTTCTATGTCCTCAGTGTTCTGAGATTTCACACTGGTATGCCTTGGTGTGGGTCTATTCTCAATTCTTGTGCTGGCATTTGGTGGCCCTTTCATTCTAAAAATGCATGCTTGTTAGTTGTGGGAAATATTTTTGAGTTATTTCTTTAATGACTTCCTCTCCTCTGGTTTCTCTGTTCTCTTTTTGGAACACCTATTTGCATATATTAGACCTGTTTTCGCCTGCTAATTTTCTTATCTTTCCTGTGTGCACTTTCTTTCTC